GAAACTTAAACTTCAACATATGTCTAATTAGTCCGTACCTAAATCTGACCAAACACCGGATTCATGATTAAAATGTATTGAAAATTAAAATCTGCTGAAAAATAGCAAAATGCTTAATACGAAGCTTGAATAAAGATACCTGAAGATTGGTAGTGCTAGGTGGCAGACTACTTTTTCTATCGGAGCGATAAAATTTTAAAGGTAAAATAATGATGCCAAAAAAGCATCCGGAAGTCTGCTTCGTTTTATTCATGAGAAATCAAAAAGTACCATTGATTCACAATAATGTTCCTGTAGAGACCAATGAAATGGCTACTTATCTTATTAAACTATGTATGGGTCAGTTCTTAGAGGATTTAGGGTCAATGGGTCAGCACAAATTGAAGGCATTTGAAGTGAAATACTCTGACGGTGTACGACTAAAAATCAGACTCTCGGGAGCGATTCAATGGCCAAATTACTGAAATAAATGCGACTGCCATCCTCCATCTAGAAGGTAGAAGTATAACAATTCATCGTGCTATCGTGCTGATAAAGAGCATGGTATGACACTGATCGATATTTCACATAGGTAAACCATGATATTTACTGGCGCACTGTTTAGGGGCTCGGAATATTAAAACTATAGAAGCGGTGTGGAAAATTTAATTCAAAATATTATCCAGGGCATTTAAACTTCGTATCGTAGACCACAGTTCAGGGCCATGGAGAAGCAAAGGACCATACATAATCATATACGCCGCTTAGAGGGGCGAGGAGATGCTGTTATTCACAAGTATATCAAGTATGTCTTATGGCTACACCCTAACTTCTGCTAAAAGTATCACGCTGACTTACACGGATGAACACATTTATTTATATTTGGATGATGGATATCATACTGATGGTGAACAACCTCTGATCCTGAACTTGAGCAACTGTCAACGAAGAGCAATGTGCGTGGGTAATGCTGTTCGATCTCGTGTTATGACCGAAACACCAATAACGCATGGACCACACATGACACTGAGGAAATAGGAAACGTGGTTCTTGGACAAATATCCTCCTCAACGAATGGGACCGAAAAGTTGCCTTTAAGAGCACATGTGAATAGTGTATAACTTGCCGAGGTATGACGACAGGAGAGAAATCGTCTCAGTAACGTTATCTCCGCAGAGAAGCATCACCATCATGCCTGTCTGAGAAATTCAGACTTTGTGAGTGACGACGCTATGCGTAAGCGTTGGGACTTCATATTGGAACTCATGCAGGTCACCTCATAAAGGTTGTCGATTCGTAGCAAATTTTCGAGTTTCCACCGGCCATATACCGTGCTAACCCTCTATATTATACGACAGTAAATAAAAATACTCACACAAACGCGGAAATTGATGACTGATCTCTAACCGGCAAGATATCAGCGTAGGTTTCCGTAAGAGAATGACTAACGTTCACTGAAATTGTACAAAATAAGGATATAAAAACGTGTCGCAGATGCAACTGTGCCTGAATGTTGATTTTCGAATTTCACTAGGTTTGGTAAATCACGATATGCATCCGGGCCAACGACCAAATCTACCGCTGGCTCTTTGGAAATAATCGCTGATTTGAGACGCTCAGCCATGCATCCTAAACATATCGAAGCCAAACAGTTAATTAAGCAACACATTATCATAATAACGCTCTAAAACAAAACAGAAGATAGAACAATACCTAAAATGCCTATTTTGAATGGTCTTTTGTTTGGATTCTTTGATCGAACGCGCTTTCTTAGTTTCAGCTGCTCAATCCTTCGCCATATCTTCGTCTCAGCACTTTCTCTAATCGCGCACGTCATCAGTAAAACCAAATCGGCCTTAAGTATGTTTTTAAAATATTTCTTACCGTATTCTTTAAATAAACCTATGCCATGCGACAATACACAAATGAATTTGTTAC